GAGGCTGCTGAGATTCCTGGAGGAGCTTGGGTGGCACGAGTAGGACCCTGCACCCACCACACGCAAAATAGGCGCTTTGTCGTCGAGTTGCGGATACCAGCCCGTTGCACCAAGTACCAAGTACCAAGTATGTAGTAAGGAGATTCTTGCTTACGAGTTTTCGACTTGTCTAAACACGATCTCGTATGACATTTCTTCAAGTTCATACGATTATCGTACAAATCGGTTCGAATCATTTTGAGTGCGAGAATCGTCATTCGAGTTCAGTGATTACTGCGGTATTGACTATGGACATATCGAAATGACGCAAGAATCATTCAAATTTGGAATTGCTGATAATATTAAGTTCATTGCATTGTAGAGAAATATAAATTTTTTTATTTTTTTCAAATTTTATGACATTTCTTAATCCAAATTTTTTTTTTCGTTCTCGTTTCATTAATTGTTGTCTTAGAAAAGCAGTGATAATCAAAACACCCTCGCGCACTGCACTCGTGGTAGAAACGGCTGGCACAGAAACTCGAAATACGATTTTTGCTTTCGAGTTCTGTTTACACGGAGACGTTCAATATTGAAAGGCGAGGCGATTATCGCTCACGTGGACGGTCGATAATCGCAAATGTTTAGACGAGGAAAGTTTTTTACATTCTTTCGATTATCGTATCTTCGAGACGAGAAACTCTCTCCATCTAAATGGGCCTTAAGGGTGCTGGTGAAATTACAGGCACATGAGACTTATCAGCTTAAGTCTCAGGGTGAGGGGCGTGCCCCTCAGATCTCTGTGTTTTAAAGCTCTGAGTGGCACTGCAACTGTTATGGACAGGCGTGTCGCTTACCATCAGGTGCGCGACTTGTTCTTCTCGTCACTTGGTGTTATTGAAAAATATAGGTACCCATGTAAGATGCCTTACCTTCTCAAACTCGTATCTTATAAAGAATGATTAATCAGGAGATTTTAAAACCTTCTATTTATTTTAAATTTCTTATCAAGGGTGTTCATTTGGATACATTACTTTAAGAATTGGTAAAAGCCAGGTGTAAATATGAAGGGAATGTGATGTGAAACCAGCCTGTAAACTTTGTAGGTACAATCCATTTTTTGCATTTCAGTTATTTTGTGCTTTAAGATACGACTTTGAGAAAGTAAGGCGACGATATCCGATCTTTTCGCCGTTTAATTTTTAGTTTCGTGAATATCTAATATTGATATATATAAAATATATATGAAATATGAAATTACGGGCATTATTCTAATTTTATTTATGTGTGAAGACGTAAAATACACCGTTCAATTAGTGCAATAATAATTAAGTAATCTGTGGTTTGACTTCGAACATAATCATTGACATTTTGACAATCACAAAAATGTGGTATTAACAATATTATTCTTGAGTTGACAAGTGTCAATATTTGCTAGAGTTCTAACGATAAAACATTAAAAAAAATACAATTTACAAAAGGTCGATCTGTGATCTTGTCTCGCTCTTGTCACAGGTATGCATTAAAAAACAGACACACGCTTTGGTCCAATTTTACCTGATGTCAAGCGACGACGTGACCGATTACAGAGTATGTGGATAGACAACTTACAAAATATTTTTCTAAAATATCCCTGTCTCCTAGCCTCACAATCTTTGGTACAGGATCGGCGACTGAACCGTCTGTTACTGCAGTGCTACTGCAGTGAGCAGCCGTTAGAACAAAGTTAGGGCTGATCAGGGAACTCCCACATTTAAATATCCAGGTTCCTTGGGCTGCTTGCCACCCCACTGCTGCCTGTAATGAAAAACTTCTCTTTGTGAAAAATTGATGTCGGATGTCAGATATGTCAGCATTACTGAGTTTCGGTTTTGAAGGATAGGGGTGCTGTGAAAATTGTAGGCACATGGGACTAATCAATTTATGTCTCAGGATGACGGGCGCAGTGGCAGTGTCTATCAGATCTTTCCGATTGAAAGCTCTGTGTGGCACTGCAACTGTTAGGCTTACTTTTCACGGCAGCGTCATTTAACAAATGCATGCAAGCTGCAAATGACGACAGGCGTATTTTGCATCTTAGTTCTGTCCAAATATTGTTCAATAATACGAACAAAATTACCCGCTGATGCCGCCATTTTGCGGAATAACAGGTCTTTGCGTCTCGTAATACGCTCGAGTAGTAACATGCTGCCGCACGAGCTTCATGACGAACGCATGACGAACGCAAATGCGGCGTTGCCACGCCAGTGGACACAGTTTCGTTCGTTTCTCCGTAAGATGCAAGCATGCAGCATGCAAGCGTAAAATGACGACAGCGTGAGTATGACGTGCAGTCTATGTGGACAGTAGACCTTATGGACAGTCATGTTGCTTACCACTAAGTATACGATTATTTCGTCCCGTTACTTGGTGTCATAAAAACAAACCATTATTACATAATGAACTAGTTTTGTGATATCTAACATGATAAGAAATCTTAATTATATAAAGGTTTTTTGGTTACTTCATGAATCACTGTGGTTTATGGTTAGTGACGAAGTAATTAACTAAATTTTAACGTCATTTATAATTGTAAACAATCACTTAACAGTTTTAAGTAATAAACATCGATTAAATACACAAGTAGATTAGAACCCTTCCCGCAATCAGCGCATGCCCCGGTAAGCGTGACTCAAAGTTTATTTCATTTTATAAATAGACAAAAAAACCGATCTCAAAAGTCATTGACCTTCTGTATAAGTCATGTAAAGTATTAACTGTAAGGCAATTATTTATTAAGTCCACAGTCCTCAAACAGCACGTATTACTCCCATATATTACTGAAAACACTAATAAAAGACGAAAAGATATTGACTGCCCCAAAGTTATATCATCAAAACATATTTTTATTTCAAGATTTTTTGTGTTTCTTGGACCATTTTTGTACAATAAATTAAACGCCAAATATTCTATTTCTGTTGCTTTAAGGTAAAGAAAATTCTCCAAGAAGCTCTTCAAAATATGTCCTATGAGGATACAGAGAATTTATTTATTATCGTAAAATAAATGTTGTCTTGTTTAAGTGTACAACTTTTTGATTGGCAATTTATTGTTTAATTGTTTAATTTTATTTCATAAGATTCTCCTAAAAAGTATTTATAATATTAATAGTATCCACGTTTATAATTAGTAGTACTTTTTACCTGAAATACAGGAATTTCCTAGTTCAGGTACATGTGTTATTTTTACATTAAATCGCATAAGTAGTCTTTAGTTTTCTCTGTACATTATGTTACTGAATAAACAATTTTATTTATTATTTATTTATTATTATTTATTCATCCACTAGTTTACCACCCTTAAAGGCGGAATATTTTCTTTAAATTTAAATGGGATCATTACTGAGGTACCCTCTTTCCAACAAAAAAAGTATCATCAAAATCAGTCCACAAATGCTGGAGAAATCGCGTAACATACGTACATACAAAAAAACATACAGTCGAATTGAGAACTTCGTATTTTGAAGTCGATTAAAAATGGTGAATAAAATAAATGACATCGAAAAGCCTATTACAAACCTCCTCCAAACAGACATATGCAATTTAAACCTGGAAAAAATAGTTTCGTTTCCGTTGAGTAACAATCGCGACAACCTAAGAACTCCTAAATATAGGCCATACAAATAATTCCTCATCCTCTACGATGCAGTCCAGGATGGTAACCGTTCCCACTGAGGCAGTTAAGGTGCGTAAGGCAGGTACGAGGAGGTCACCGGAGGAGAAGCGGAAAAAACTGTTATGCTAGATCAAAATAAATTTAGGTGTTACTATTAAATAACGTTCTTACAAAAAAAATACGATACAGTCTAAATAAAGAATATTGGAGAGGATGTATTTTATCCTAACTTTGTATACGTTTTTTGTATATGGAAATCTTTCTCTTTTTTTCTGGTAATACAGAGAAGCTGCTAAATTTTGAAGCGCTATTATTCACATTTATTCCAAAATCTTCAAATTGCCCAGCGGTTTAACGAAACGCCGCGCCGCCCGATGCCCCGTCAGTCGCTATCAGGCGCTTGTCGACGTCGGATTCTTTGTCAAATTTTCTTCGCCTGTTCTAATTTTATTCATACTAATTTACAGACCCACCACACCTCACCTCCTAAAATCTAGTTTAATTAGTCTCACCATGTGCGGAAATTCTCCTGGCAAAGCATCGCGTCCGCCTACGGCTGCTATGGTGTAAAAGCATCCATTATCTAGTTGTTTTTTGTCATGTTCTCGGCGTTTTATATCCCAGATGTATTCGTAACATTCTAAAAACAGATTACATAGGCTGTATTCATTTGGATATTAGGCATCTTGTGTTGAACAATATCCGTGATGATCTTGGTAACTGCAAAGTACTGAAGAAAGCATATAATGTGAGATCGAAACGATCTAACGATTTTTGATTTTTGTGGTCCTTACAAAGTGAATTTAAATTGTTAAAGTATATGTTAATTATTATTCTGGTATATTCCTTACTTTGTTCACTAATCCGTCTACCAGGTTTGCTGAAATTGGGCATTTCAGGAAATTTCTGATCGCAAATATTCGTTTCTTTTGCTCTTTCATTGAAACTGGATTCCAGGGAAACCTGATGATCAATAAAATTTCTATCGTTAGTTGACAAACATCAAAATCTTAAAAACCAAAACGGTATTTTCCGTGGATTTATTCGTTCTTGATACACTTCCTTTCTGACCCCTTTTTTTGGCTTTATCGCAATTTTCATGATCCGTAGTGACTACTATCTAGTAGATCCGTAGTAACTGAATCTGATTATGAAAATTGTTGGTGATGGTGGCCGATACCCGATTTGTACTGCGATTATTGCGTGAAAGCCGTTAAAATTTCTTTGAATTAAATTCCAACTTACTGCTTCAGTCAAGTTTTTTGCAACACCCCAGAACCATGGAGCATCTTGCTGAAAAGAAAGATAGTAAACAGTTAAAGACAGTAGCTGATTATAATGGGTCAAGTCAAACGAATACATTGACCAGTAAAAGATAGTGTAAAGTGGTATAGACGCTCTTACAGGGCATGACAGGGGACGACTGGGGAAACTTTAGCGGTAGGTTTTAAGGCCATATTTTTTCCTTGAATTATCGCAAGTATACGGATCAACGTACATTATTGTGCAACGTCGCGCTCTATTTTGGGCTCGTGCAAAATTTATAAATTATAATTTTTTAGTATAATAAAGTTACTCCGTGGTATCGATGATCGAGAATTATTTCTACAGCTTTGACTTTTTTTAATAATACCAACTGACGGTGACGGCGCCTGGTGGTAAGCGACACGCCCGTCCGTAGCACTTGCAGTGCCACCCAGAGCTTTAAATCGCAAATATTTTAGGGACACTGCCACTGCGCGTGTCACCCTGAGACATAAGTTGACAAGTCCCGTAATGTAATTTCACCAACGACATCTTCCTGCATCATTTCACTGATATCCTAACCTGACATGACAATATTACCCGACTGGTTTAAGATCATAATCTATTATAAAAAAATTGTAATGTTATGTCAATTTGCAGATTTCTACACGATGTTTCCTTTTAATAACATATTCCTATAGAAAATTAAACTGGTAGTAGCAGTAGAGCTTCTTGTGAAACAGTTTGTTCATGGAAATACTGCCACCTTACCTATTTCTGCCGCCAAGCAGTAATGTCAGCATTTATGCGTTCTGGCTTTGAAGGGTGCTGGTGAAATTACAGGTACATATGACTTGCTAACTTATGTCTCAGGGCAACAGGCGCAATGTGGCAGTGCCCCCAGACTGTTGTGATTTATAGCTCTGATTGGCACTGCAACTGTTATAGATAGGCATGTAGCTTACCATCACGTGCACGACAAGGTTTGTCCATATTATAAAAAAAAAACTATTTTTCCGGATTCAAACCGCGTGTATTTGTTTTTTCAACAAACCAACGTTTCGTATCCTTTACTGGTCCCAAAGTCACGGTTGACCATGAGACCTGAGTTTTTGACCGTATGAGTCAATCGTGCGACCAGGCGACCTGTAAAGCGCCCGAAACGTCGGTTTGTTGGAAATAACAAATATAAGAGATTTCAAGCCGGAAAAAATATTTCATTTCCTATACGTAACAATCCCGAAAACCGGAGAACTCGAAAATGTTCCTAGTTTAGTAATGTTTAGCAATATATTATTACATGACTTCAAAAGAAACACGCTTGTGACATAGGATAACGAATTTTATATCACTTGAGTAACGTATACAAACCAGATACGAGATGGTAGCTGCGAGAATTTCCAAGGTTGCGTTAGAATTCGTTGACGCGCGACCTGTTTTTTAACCGACTTCAAAAAAGGAGGAGGCTCTTAATTCAACTGTATTTTTTGTGTGTATGTTAGTACTGATCCCATTTAAATTTGAAGAAAATATTGCACCTCATAGATGACAAACTAGGGGATGAATCCGGTTTCGAGCACTTTCCATTAAACTTGGCAAACAGGTATAATTCCGCGAACTTTTGAGGTCGGTTTTTTTTCCGGTAAAGTTATTATGTCACAAAAATTAGGTTTTTTTTAAAAAAAAAACTTTATGCGCGAAATTAATTTTTCACTGACTTCAAAATAAGGTTTTCAATTCGACAACATTTTTTGGATGTATGTTACGCGATAACTACGATATTTGTGAACCGATTTCAATGATTATTTTTTTCTTGGAAAGGTGGTACGCTACTAATGGTTTTATTAAAATTTGAAGAAAATACCCCACCTTTAGTGTGGTATGAACCGGGTTTACTGGATTTCCTGATAACCGATTTATATAAAACTTTGCAAACAAATGTCATTTTTAAAATTTTGAGGTTAGTTTTTTTAGCCACAAGTAATAAAATATTCCAAACTGATACTTATTTCACGTGAGCATGACTTCGAAAGAACTAAGTTGCTGAAGCGTGTCTAAAAATAAGGAAAATGTCATAAAATCACCCATAATAATAACATGCGATGGCTAATATACGTACAGACACATAAGGACTCATGTTCACTTTCTCGAATTTGTTGCTGGTTGCCCTTTTAACTCGTGTTGCATTTCTTGACGTATTTAGTATAGCTCCTATTATAGATTGGGTTATTGTGACTGAAAAGAAAGAAGGTTTGTAATGGCTTTTTAGATAAGGATGTCTGATTTTATATGCAAAAAAATCATATCAGAAATGTTGTTTATATTTTTTTAATAACAAAATTGCGCATTTGTCCTCCATCCATTCACCTTGATTCATGGTTCATCTTTGTTATATTATGTTTTAATAGAGCTCCTCGTGTAATGTGAGCATTGTTGCGTTTCGGTTTTGAGGGACTTGTCAACTTATGTCTCAGGGTGACGGGCGTAGTGGCAGTGCCCGTCAGATGTTTCTGACTGCAACTGTTATGTTATGGACAGGCGTATCGTATACACCAGGCGCTTGATTTGTTCGTCCAGTCACTTGGTAT